GCCCCGAAATGCCTAATCACTAATTTGTGTGCCTTTTAAAGCCGAGCAAAGCTGTGTGTTTTTTCTTTTCTTTTATATACTCAGGAGGGTTTACAAACTCCATACAGTTGTTTGTTGAGTACCTGTATGCACATCACAGTATTACGCTGCATGAATATTAAAATAAAATTATTCACAGTTAGGCAGAAGGAAATGAATTAATTGTTAAGTAAGGAATAAAACATTTGGGGGCATGCTGTTATAGGAAAATAATAAATGACGAGGTGGTGTGACATGGCCTGACACAAAAAGTTACTGTTACCACCCTGAAGTTGATTATTTTCCTATAACAGCATGTCCAGAAGAGTATTATTCCTCTTATACTCTTATGCCACAGTGATTTGCCAACTATTCCAATTTTGAATGACATTCCATGGTTTTTAACTGTTTATAGTTGCATTTAATGTTGTGGAACATTTACGTTATAGAAGCAATAAACAGTCTTTCCTTCACCGGCCTCTCTTTTTACTCTCTTTTGAAGTTAATAAGACAAAAAAAAAATTAGCTTGTCATGTTACAGAGAAACTGCACAGCACAACGTTCTCTGAAGACTTTCCCATGGCAGAAAACCTATTGACTGGTACAAAGTGCTGACACTCATATCATATCATATATACCATATCATTGACTATTATGTATTAATTTGTTAAATAATGTGTTTTACTACATTTATAATTAGCCTTAGATTATGTAGATTGCCATACAAGTCCCTGCGAATGTGTTGTTTCTATAGAAACAATAAGGTACTAGAATGAGCGCATTAATATAACGCATTAGAATTACAACCAGCATTATTGTCAGAGCAGCTGTCATAGAAAATTAATCAACACCTTCTGACCAATCCAATTTGAAAATCTAACAGCTCTGTGGTATAATCATATTTGCCACAAACCTTTGCAATTGTGAGCTACAAGACATCTTAGGTACATTCAATTACTTTCAGTCATCTGGTAGATGCTTTATCCAAAGAGACAGGATACAATCCAAATCAACAAAGTGAGCAGTTGCGGGTTAAAGGACTCTCTCAAAGGACTCAACATTGGCTCTCAGGCAAACTTGGGATTTGAACTCACAACCTTCCCAGTCACCAGCTCAAAATTTTAACCACTGAGCCACCACTATTGCAGCCAATGACCCAGTGTGACAGTTCAAACCACGGCGCTCAGCCACACACTTACATTAACTACATGCCATTGATCCATTAACATACAAATGGTCCCTGCTTAACATGTGATTAAGATTCCAAATGCCACCAAATGTTAAAGAACTATGGTCTGAAGAATAAATAACCTAAATGGGGACCCATAACATTCAGACAGTAATTCGCTTTTTGTGCCGCCGTGGCTAAAACGGCCACATTTAATTTCTCATTACATGATGGATCTTCTCGGGAAAGTTGAGGTGTGCTGGCACATATATAAAATAAAGCTTGTTCCAGTGAACTGAAGAAGCCTACTGCTACATCTGGTCAGTATGAAATGTGACAACGTTGGAAATCAGATTAGAGCGTAGGCTATTAATTCACTCTATTACTACTATAAAAATCTGATATGGGATAAATGAAGTCTGAAGCCAATTGGGATCTTCTGAATCTACTCTATTAATGGTGGCCAAGAATATGCGACCTAATCAGAAAGGTACTAAATAGACTCGGAATGCAAGGACACTTAATAAATGTTATAATATGTTATTGCATAAACATGTAAGGAATAAAACACTTCAGGATGTGCTGTTTTAGGAAAATAAACAACAACAGGGTGGTGTGATGTGAAGTTGATTATTTTCTACGTCCAACAGCACGTTCCAAAGTGTTTTATTTTTCTTATACTGTATCAATTTGCCCACATTTTTTTTTATCTATTTATAGTTACCTTTTAATTGTGTTATGTTTGTGAAGCAACTTAGTTCATGTTATCACTTGATCAGTAGCTATAAACAGTTATACTTTCACCAGCCTCTTGTTTTTTTGTTTCTTTTTTAGACAAAAATGCAGCTTGTCATGTTACTGTGAAACCATAAAGCCTTCCATACTGAACACTTTCCCATGTTAGAAAAGTTAAAGTTACAGATTTGACACTGGAGACTCCTTCCATAAATGCTAAATACATGTCTCCTCACAGAAAGCTTGCTAATACCAACAATTACCTGGTTTTTAATCAGTTTTTGAGCATCCACCATACAAGCACCTGTATACATTGTTACTATAACATATTAGAACGAGAGCGTTAATATAAACGTGTGCTTTGCCTTTCAGCTAATCTACTGTCACAGCTGAACACCTTCCGACTAAACAGATTTGAGAATTCAACAGTGCTGTGGCATAATATTCAACAACACATTTGATGGGATATTTGGGTACAATGCAGTGTATGTACAAGACGCATCAATCATAAGAAACTCGCTCTAAACTCATAATTGAACATCTGGTAGAACAAAAGATGCCTCTGACACATCAACACGTGGACAAAAACAACTGTGTTACGAGAAATGTCCATGTTGCCAGAAAAGGACCCGAAACACAGCAGATCATGTAGGACAATTTGAAGTCATATCCACATTAAGTCATGACCTCATACACACACTTTGTGCTTTGTTTCTATAAATACATGACTCTCATGACTGGGATCTGACTAAACTGATCACTGAAATGACATCACACTGGCGGTTGGTCCGAAACCACAAAGAGGTGACAACATATAGACAATATAAGGTTTTCTGAGACGTGATGTGAATGCGTCTTATGTAGAAATAATTCAGAGAAATTAATTAAAAAAACAGAAATTAATTTTTTAAATAAATTTAAAAAATTAATTAAAAAAATATTAAACCTGAACAGCATTTCAAACTGAATTTTTTAGCATTATTTGTAATCACTTGAAATGGGTTTTTGTTTTATTTAAATGACTCTCTAACTTAATTTTGGACATAACTGGGCTATAAAAGATTGATCATTTTTCGAACAGGACACGTACGCTTAACTCAATCTGACAAATTTATACAAGTTGTGAAAATTGTTGCAAATTTGCATAAAGGAGACTACAGAATGTTGGTCTAATGATATAATCACTACAGTCCTGTTAAAGTCTCCCTTATGAAAGTGCTATAAATGCATATTATGAATTAGTAAAGAAGGAGCTTGAATAATAGTCACGTTATTGAATTATGCCATTTCTCCCATTATGTTATCTTTTTGTCCTTTCCTCGAATCTCTTACTCTCTCATATGGTCTCTGTAGGCCTCAGGCGGGTTTTAAGGGTCTAGTGAAGCCAGGGTGAGGAAAACAATCACCCTTTGCCATCCTTTATTTTTATCTTTCTCAGATGTCGCTTACAACAGCTCCATGGGTTGTGGATACTTGGATCAATATCTATTTAGTGACCTAACCTCTGTGTATGTGTGTGTCAAAGCAGGCAATCTAAAGCTGTATGAAGTATTTCATCTGACATGACCTACCTCTTGACCTGCTCACAACACAGGCCCTGCTGTCCTGAGGGCACGCTGCTCTCCAGCTATAAACAAGACCAGGAAGTTGTTGCACACTTGTCACAATGTTGGTGGCAACCAACACCAGACTGATTGTCTGTCTTTATACTGGTCTCTCACTGCCTTTCTTCCCCTACTATATGAACGCCAAAGTCTGTATGAAATACTAGTTTTACAGCTCTATTGGTCAGTTTCTTTATATAGTTTTGTTGCACACCACACATCAGGAATCGAGAGAACATTAAAATATTCTTGATTCTGATTGGTCAGATCAATTTCCTATAAAGCAGCTCAGACAGTAATAATTCCAGCTGCTATTCCATCATAGTTTCACATTAAATGTGCTGGTCCTAATATTTTATCATTGCTATAGTAACAGCATACACAGGGACCATGGCAGATGCTCCACATGAACCAATTTTATGTGTGTAATCATTCACCTGGTGAAGTTTTCTGTAAAGAGATGGACGGGGTCTCTAGTATCAGCACTGTTCCGTTAAGCTTTCCAACATGGGAACATTTTCAGGACAGAGTGTTTTGTGGTTTCTTAGTTACATGACAAGCTGCATTTTTTTGTGATTTTAACTTCAACAAAAAGAAAAAAGAGACTGTTTATGGCTGCTATAGTAAGTGAAATGTAATATGTGTACAATGTGTAGCATTGGCAAAATGCTGTGGAATAAAAGGGGAATGGAAGAGGATAAAACTCTTTGGGATGTGCTGTTATTGGAAAATCAGCACATCACACAACTCAGTCATTGATTATTTTCCCATAACCACACACCCTATGATGTTTCATTCCTTACTTGACATTTATGAACTTTTCTCAGTAGAATAGACAGATCCAAACACTGAATAAAGGAATAATATCTCCACCATGTTCATCTCTCTGACAGGCTGAGGTCTGAATGAGGAAAAAGCAGGCATGGCCCCCAATCTTTCATTCAGCTGGCATTCATCTATCCCGTGTGCACCTCTTAATCTGGTTCTGCCAGCGGTCAAGAAACAGAGACCTTCAGCAGCTGAAACAAATGACACTACCAGGAACAGGAAACAACTCACAGCTAACGGTTTAACACTTCCACACTTAACACAGACTGTCCTGCTATTGTGTGGATGAGGCATGTGTCCTCATAAGCATACTGTACTACACATGTTTATACAGTGAAGAGCTGCTTCTCAAGTGGCATGCTTTGCATTCTTTTACTGCAAGTAATGTGTTCATACTGTTCATACCAGGAAACTCAGTAAAATGTAGTGTACCTTTACAACCAGAATGATGTATTAAAACCAAAGTTTTGAATTCTGTGCCAAGCAGGATCACTGTGGACATTTTAATTCCTTAAAGTCCAAACTGATCCAGACATGCAGTGGTCCTCTCATAACTCTCATAACTACAGAACTTTTCAGTTACATTTCAGTGTAACTTCAGTTACAAGTTCCAAGTTAATAATTCGGCCTAGCTACTGACTAATGGGTCCCTGGAGAACTAATGGTTAATCCTTGGTGCTCTCACTGCTGTGGCCCAGGTTCGATTCCCAGGCCAGGGAACCAACCCCAGCCACGCAGTGCACTCCCAGTGCTGGTCCCAAGCCCGGATAAAATTGGGGAGGGATGCGTCAGGAAGGGCATCTGGCATAAAAACTGCGCTAAAACCAAATATGCATTCAATGGTTAATCAAATATATATTCAATGGTTATTCCTGTGGAGGCTTTGCTAGCATGGTTCAAAGACATTTATTACTACACAACTATTTGTCATTTTTGATTACTCTAAAATGTTAGCATCAATCAGAGTCTTATTTATTCAGATCACCGATGGCAGCTAAACTCCTTCTATAATCTTGGCAATATAATGTCTGCAAAGGATAGATGGTGCATGTCATACACAGAGCACCAGATTCTGGGACCAATGTTCAATGATAAGGAAATCCATATTTATAAGACCTCAGAATTGTTTATTTTTCAGTTATATCACAGCACTATTAAATTCTCAAATATGATTGGTCAGAATGTGATTAAGTTTCTATGACAGCAGGTCTGACAGAGGTACCAGCTGATTCAAATGATTCAATATTTTCATGCTGTTATTCTAATATGTTATCAGAACAACTCATTCACAGGGTCTTGTGTGGTGGGTGCCCCATAAACTAAGGCTAATAGTAAATGAATTTAAAACATGTTAACAAGGAAAAACAGATAACTGTTGATATAGTGAAATTTTGTGTAAGGAGGTGTTTCTTTAACATTAATGGAAGGAGTCTCCAGTGTCAGTGCTTTGTATCAGAGAGTAGGCACCTTCCAGTTGCTTACTAACATGACAACCTGCTTTTTTGTCTGAGAAAAAAGAGAGGCTGGTGAGGGAACGACTATTTATAGCTGTTATAACATAAGTGATAACAGGCAGTAACTTATGTCATGGACATTCCACAACATTAAATATAACTATAATGGTTAAAAGTATGACGTTTCATTCATTAATACATTACAGATTGTAATTGTTGGCAAATTGCTGTGATATAAGAGGAATAAAATCGTCAGGATGGTAACAGTTTCTAACACCGTGTTATAGTTTATTCCTTACTTTATTACTTTATACTTTATTACTTTATTCCTAATTTGTTGATTTTTATGTTTCACACCATTCTTTATAACAAACAAAAAAGAGTCATTCTAATATTTAATATTAATACTCTTGATAATTTAAAACATAACTGTCATACTAGCATATGCTCTTGCCACTCAATGTCTAACAAGCTAGACAGAGAGGCTAAGGCTAACTAGATATGATTGGCACATGATGTCAATGATAAATTAATGAGGTAATTCAACCTACTGCGGATCTTTTGCACCTTAACAACATGTGTGTGAAGCTAAATAGGTCAGAGCTACATTCACATTATTAATAGCTCTACATACGACTTGAGAGTGAAATGATACCTTGATAATGGTATTAAGTGAGAAGGTATAAGATTTTAATAGCTGTGTACGTACAGTATTCTAACAATTAAATCAATGCAACATTTTGCAATTCAGTAGTATGTAAAACCGCAAGGAATCCTTTTTCTATTCCTTATTCTACTTGTAAAGTAGAATACATGAATTATGGCATTGGACAAATATATATAATTAGTGAACGTCTGTATTAGCTAAATCCTTTGTGTCTACAATGAAAGATGTGGTTTATCACATGTATTACAGACATGACCAACACATATTTGCCAACATCTAGTTCATGTGACAGCGGATTTGAAGTGTGTATTGCGCTTTGGTCTGGCTTGTGGTTTTGGGATGACCTCTGTGACCAGCTCCTTGATCACATCCTAATTTTAATGTGACACCAGATCTGTATGTCAGCCTCATGTGAGAAGTGAGTAAGGGTTCTGGAAATACCCAACCGAGGGCTGCAACTCATCCTCCACCCGGGTAGATTGACCACAGAACACAAACAATGATGGCAACCATGCTGATGGTTTGAGTAACACAAGTGTAGAACAGAGGCCACTGTTCAAGATGGAATAGGAGCTTGAACTGACCTTATTGTACTTATAAATGGACAAACATTACCAATATGATGAGTGGTTACAATGGTGAACATCTAGGTGATTGTATGGCATTTTGCTTCAGTAGATCATCTGATCTGGATACTGTGGCCTTGCTGCTGCTATAATCATAAAGCCTGTCCTGATGCTCATCCCAGGACTCGTATTCACACCAAACATTTTTTTTGAAAGCACTTAGCACAGTTTGCCTTTTCCCTTTACACCTGTAAACTGTAAAGATTTATAATGATATAATATAACTATCTGGCATCGCCCAGAAAAGGATGGGTTCCCTTTAAGTCTGGTTCCTCTCAAAATTTCCTTCCTCGTGTTGTAATTCTAAATCCTTTACATTTATAGCAATAATTAAATCTGAAGTAATTTAAGGAAGCATCAACACTGAATCCTATTCAGTGGTTTTTTTTTTTTTACTTTGGCTTTACCAATGATATATTAGCCATATTCTCTCACTCCTGGCAGCCTCCAGTACTGGAGACCTTTTCTTTCACATTAATATGTCCTAAGAATACAAACAGCACTCACACACTGTGTGGGAAACACTACTTAAATTTCACTTAATATAGGACATTGCTAGTCAGTTGAATGTGTATATCAAGTCCAACATGATTATATGAGAAATTTGTATGAATTATAGCATACACAAGTGAAGTCCATAGATCAATCTGGGCCCTTGAGCAAGGCCCTTAAACCCTCAACTGCTCAGTCGTAAGTCGCTCTGGTTAAGGGCATCTGTCAAATGCCATAAATGTAAATGTAAATTTAATACAATGAAGTTGTAAGAAAAGGTACAAATGCTAACCCAGGACCCTAACCCTAATTTTATTTTTGTAACTTTTAATATGGATTAAGTCATACTAATTGTTCTGAATTTCATTTCGGTGTACTCATTGGTTGGTTTAGTTGGTTAGTTTGCCTTGGGCACTGAGTGGCACCCCAAGTTAAAACATCACATGTGTCCTGTGGCTAAGAGAGAATTCCAGCTGTGTGATGTGCAACTGGCTTTATTCCCCAGAGGGAGAGTTTCCAGTGAGATCTGTTTAAATTGACTAATCAGCATTCTCCTGAAATACTTGGCAAAGTGACATGACCGGCAGTTCTGGTGCGTTTGCTAATTCCAGCAATAAACCTTGTTTTGAAAAAGCTATCACTGCTTGCTGGGTGATTTTAAAGTTACCCTATTAAATGCCACACCATAACAGCAATTACAAAACTGTAAACAAGATTATCATAAAGTCATGAGGACAAACAAGCCACTGTTAATCACCAGCAGTCAGCAGTGAAAATAAAAGGAGCCCTTCACAAATCTGTCGGAAAGGTAATCCAATTGAGTCAGAATTCCACTTGAAAGCCTATCTAGGGAATTAGTGAGAATCGGTCAGTTGATTCAAGTTAGGGAAATGCAATTTGAGAGTGCCAACCTTTGCTTTGAAATTATTCAGACATTTGCAAGGCAAGTAATATGCTTTATGCTGTGAACTTGGGCCATAAAACTAAGAACTAGACCAATACAATTTTTCAGTAACAGACCGCAGAAATACCTAATCAGAGCTAAAGTAGGACTCTGCATCCTTGTGTTTATTGTCATAATTATTATGTTTAGATTACAAGCAGTAAGGATAATGCATATAATACTGAATGCCAGTATGTTAGGCATAAGTAATCTGCTGAATAATGTGTCTAATTTAATTACATGGCCAGAAAAAAATAAATGTGCATTTAATCTTTTTTTTTCTTCTTCAGGTCTTATATGCTTTGAAACAGTTAAGAACAACAACAAAAAACCCCTCTCATTCAACTTTTCTTACTTGACAGATAATAGAGAGGAATATATATATATATATATGGTACATGCAGTAACAAATGAATCAAAGAAACTGATGCTTAATTACGCTATACATAATACTGAAACCATTCCAACGACTGGTTTGAAATGTATTGATTAATTATACATTTTTGCTTGCACATTGCACATTGCATTCTACACACTGGGCTAGTCAACAAGCCTCTTTGGACAGAAACCCTTATCACTGCATCTATTCAACTAATAAACATTACAAAGCTGTGCAAATATCTCAAAGCTTCCTTTACAACCGTGCCAACAATTTAGTGGAACACAGAAGCATGACATAGCCAACAAAACTGGAACAGAAATGTATGTAACTTCCTTAATATTTTCACGAGCTTGCTTTGTCTGGGATGTGTGTCCAGAACATGCACATAGATGAATGACCCAGTGAGGAATCCGGCTGAGCGCTCAATGAAGTGACTGATGACATGCAAATTTAATATGTGGTTTCCACCGACTAAAGTGGAAGTAGAGGGGGGCTGCTATGGCGCAGCCCTGAGGCAGCTGATAAAGTAGAGCAACACAGGGGGAAGAAGGAAGCCTTTGTTTTAAGGAAGGGAAAATGAGGCAAAAAAGTTTAGGCCCATCACAGGATGCAGGCAAACAGCTTCGAAAATCCCACTGGGCCAGGGTAACAAGGAAGAGACGTTAAATTCATATACTTCACCTGCAAAGCATTGTGGCACTTTGAGGAGAAGGCTAGAGAGGGATGTAGAGAACATATCCAAGGAATAAAACACAACAGAACATGCTAGAAATAAACAAGCAGTAACATTATGTCCGAAAATATTTTTATTCCTCTTATACCACACAAATTGCCAATGATTACATTTTTTTTATTAAATAAAGAATGAGAAGTGCTTTAATCCATCTATAGTGATATTTAATGTTGTGGAACATCAAAAGCAAGTTAGCTCCTGTTATCACTTACATTATCATTAAACTATCATTCCCTTTTTTCGTTTTGAAGTAAAGTTCAATCCTCTGTTCTGAAGATTTTCTTGTGTCAGAAAATCTAAAATTACAGCTTTACGTCTGACTTTTACGAAGTACTGACACTGGAGACTCCTTCCAAAAATGTTAAATAAACGTCTCCTTACAGGAAACTTTGCCATAGCAACTATTAGACATGTTGACAAGTC